CAACTGCTCCACCATCGTCCACCCCAAAAGATCAACCGATCTTTTTCGGTTAAGTTCTTCTCGCAGCCCTCCATGACTAATGAACCTCAGCAGTGGCTAACGCATTTCGTCAAGCCATGTGCATACGTTTTATCCCGTAGCAAACACTAGTGTAAAAAGCTTCTTCCCAGGAAACCTTAAGAAGATTTCCTTAGTTGTGTTTTTTATTTTAACTACAACATTCAGGAGTGAATGTGATCCATCCTATCCAGAGGTGGTATTCAGCCGGTTCGGATCAGTTCGAACCAGTTCGGGAAAATCGGTAGCGGAGATTGCAGATAGGCCTGTCCACCAGCCCCAGCGTTATGCCGTCCTATTTAGCCACCAGGTACATGCGCAAAAGGTGCGTATATGCAAGAAGCAAGCGTGCGCGTGGCGAACTGGTGGTAAAAATAAATGAAACCCACTCCTGATCCTATCTGTAAAATAATGTGACTGCGCAACAATTTAGTTATGATCGTCCGACCGAACAGAGTCTAAACATCAGGATCAGATTAATTATGATGCTGTGTTTTAAACACATTATTTCTCAGACTGGCGAGAGAGGAAACAATACTATAGTTATGTATTTCTCTGAGGTTTCTTTGACCAAAAACAGTGCAAACGGCTGAATATTTCACATTTGTGATTTGCAAACTTTCCAAGATCTGTATAGGCCGTCCTTGGCTTACAACAGTTCGTTTAACAGCTGTTCAAAGTTACAACGTCACTAACCAAAGTGATTTACGAGTCATTTTTCACACTTGTGACCATTGCAGCGTTCCTATGGTCACGTGATCAAAATTCAGTTTCGTATTTGTGACGGTTGCATGGTCCCGGGGTCATTTGATCCACTTTTGCGACCATCTTGACAAGCAAATCAACAGGGAAGCCAGATTTACTTAACAACCATGTCACTAACTTAACAACTGAATTGATTCACTTAGCAACGGTGGCAAGAAAGGTCGTAAAATGGAGCAAAATTCACTTAACGACTGCCTCGCTTATCAACAGAAATTTGGGGCTCGATTGTGGCCATACGTCAAGGAGTGCCTGTATTTGTGATTTCCCAAGGCACTGCCCAAATAATATTAAAACCTAGCTTTGTGACCTTATGGACTAGAAACGTTGTTTTCTCAATAAAATCCTACCACAAAATATCCTCGGCTTTTCTGAAGTAGTCAGATCACATAAAACGGAAACCTACAGGGTCTATTTTTAAATATATATATATATATATATATATATATTATTTTACTTCCAAAGAATAGCACAGTCAAACTATGCCTGAGCTATAAACCAGGTTTAATTTTTTTGCTGACAGCAGTGGAATTGCAAAATGGTTTCACTTTGACTAAACTGAGCCTGCGGTGCCTTTTAAAATGACTGTTGTGTCAGTTTATAGTTGATTCATACTGTACATTTTTTTGTCAATGAATCATGCCGTATTTGGAATTCTCAAATATTGGCACCTATTCCCCATCACGGGTAGTCCTCGACATTTAATCATGTAAATCAGCACGTCACGCATTAGAAACAGGGGTGGACTGCTGGGGGTTCGCAGGGGTTCGGGAGAACCTCTAGCTAAGATTCTGTGCAGTTCAGAGAACCCCCAAATCCCACTCCTGGCTGGCCCCGCCCACCCTGCCCCATCCCTCCCAGGAGTCCCCACATGGCCCGTTTTGGATGCAAGTAAGTACAGGGCACGCGCAGAGTCTCGGCAAGAGCGAGAAACGGGCCTACTGGAAGTTCAGGAAGGCCGGAAACAGGGCTGTTTCCAACCTCCAGAGGGCCTCCGGAGCCTGGGGAGGCCATTTTCGCCCTCCCAGAGGCTCGAGGAAAACCTCCGGAGCCTGGGGTGGGCAAAAAATTATCCTGGCCTAGGATATTCTGGTTAGGACATCTGTGAATGATGTCCTAACCCCCCCCCCTCCGCTATGGTGCAAGAGGCCAACTAGACCACACCCATTATGGCCACGCCCACACAGAAACCGGGCAGAGAACCCCTTGCTAAAAAATTTTGAAGCCCACCCGATTAGAAACGTCTGTCTTTTTTTGCATTTGGGGTGGAAGAGTAGGGGAGGTGATGCCCAAAAAGGGTAACTTAATTTTTCAAGGGCTTTCTGATTCTCAACTGTTGGAAACCACAATCTAGGACATTACAGCCAGGAGTTCTCCTGACACATACCGAAGTATTCTTTCCCAGCATTGCATGCAAATTTATTCTAGTAGCTGGCTTGGGGAAAGGAAGATAGTTGTTGATTATACATTCAAACGGAAGAATTTTCATACCTAACTATGTGTGTCTCTGGATTGATCATAAAATAAAATAATCTAAGAAATCTAACAACACTGGCCATCAAAGCCCTTCCCTTTTGATCCTGACAGGGCTCAAGGCCAACTCTTTATCAATATCTAATATCTAAGGGGCTGCCACAAAGAAGAAGGGAGTCAACCTATTCTCCAAAACACCTGGAGGATGTAACAAAGAACAGTTGTAAGAATTGGGGGTGTCTAGCCTAGTGAAAAGAAGGACCAGGGGTGACATGATAGCAGAGTTCCAATTTTTTTTTTATTTGATTTATAAGCCCCATTTGAGGGGCTTCCCCAAAGAAGAGGGGATCAACCTGTTCTCCAAAGCACCTGAAGGCGGGACAAGAAGCAACGGGTGGAAACTCATCAAGGAGAGAAGCAACTTAGAACTAAGGAGAAACTTCCTAGCAGTGAGGACAATTAACCAGTGGAACAACTTGCCTCCAGAAGTTGTGTGGGTGGTTTTTAAGAAGAGATTGGACAACCATTTGCCTGAAATGGTGTAGTGTGTTTCTTGCTTGAGCAGGGGGTTGGACTAGAAGACCTCCAGGGTCCCTACCAACTCTGTTATTCTGTTTTGTCAGCTTCTGTTCTGACTCAGCCTTCCATCCTTCCAAGGTTGGTAAAAATGAGGACTCAAGATTGTCGGGGCAAGCCAAGTCATTGGGCAAGCCAGATTCAATGCGTTCGTTTAACAACTATGGCAAGAACGTTTGGGGCAAAAACAGAAATGTTGAGCTCCGCTGTGGTCGTACATCGAGGACTACCTGTCCGGGACAGCCCTCCCTCACCTGAAAAAGGGGGTTATATATTAAGAAAGGGGGAAGGAGAGGCGCAGGATTTCTACTTAAAGGTTCAGCTCTCCACCATTCCCCGAAAAAGTTACTCCGTTCCCCCTCTTTCTCCCCGTTACAATCCAAAGCACCAGCCTATTTATCCAAACAGCCTTGTACGTCTTCCAAAACCTTTAGAGAAACAGATGTAAGAAACAAAACAATGTCCTATTTCCTTAGGGCCAAACGACACGGTACACGCAGGCATATGGAAGTTCCCTCCAAACTTTTATTTCCCTTAATGAGAAGCAGCTTCGGAAGGACGCAGGCGTGGGTCGGGCACCGGCGAAGAAAGAGGAAGGGGCTGTCGAATTCTCTTCCCTTGGACCCATTTATAATCCCCTCTTTTGTGCTGTTTTGGTTTTTTTGGAGGTTTTTTTTTTTATCCTCAAAGAAGGGATGGGGGAGAAAAATCCCACAAAGGTCCTGATAAGGGGGGAAAAAAACTCAGGTGGGCTGCAAAAGAGCATGGGAAAACAACATCCTAATTAGAGGGGGGGGAGAGAAATGTGCTTCTCCTTATCCAGTCGCCTGACATTCTAACAGTCAAACACAGTTAAGTGTGAGAATGGCCCAAATCCAGGCTTAAGACTCACCCAGGGTAAGTCCGTAACCATAGTACTTCCATTTCTCTCAGAATCTGGGTACGGCCCTGTGGAATTGGCAATCCACAGCCTATATCCACCAATGGGTAAAAAGAGAACAAACCCCACTCCCCTTCTAGCACTGATGATGTTACCTAGTTGTGTCATGAAATGTCTGCAAGATAACAAGAAACCTCAAAGAGCACCAAGAACCTCACAGTTCTCCTCCTTCTCCTCCTCCATCACCACCACCACCAACAAAACAACAACACCGCCATCTTGTCTTCTCCTCACAAACCCCACTCCTTTCTAGCACTGATGACGTTACCTAGTTGGGTCATGAAATGTCTGCAAGAAAACCACCAAGCTCAGGGAGCACCAAAGACATCACAGTTCAAACCTGACAGCTACTCAGGGAGCACCAAAGACATCAGTTCAAACCTGACCGCTACCCGCCTCGGTCAATGACTGAGGAAATATTCATCTCTTATCAATTCACGGCCTACTATCGTTACAACTTTAATTTTTACAAACCCCACAGTAGCCACAGATCATGGTCCACAAAGCTAACAGCCAAGTGGCAACTTTTTCATAGGTTTGGGGGCCTATGGAAGAGTAAAGGTATTTATTTCTCAAAGGAGGAAACCTGGGCCTAAAATATCAGCCCCATTGAGCTCAATGGTTCACCGAAGGCACCCAGCAGTTGAAATCCTAAGATATGGCCAAAGGTTTGTTTAACCATGCTCTTCATGGATAATGCAGGGAGCCCTCAACCTACGACCACAATGGAGCCCAAAATCTATGTGGTTTATTTATGAGGCGTTTCTTAAGTGAGGTTTTGCTCCGTTTTATGACTTTCCTTGCCACGTTTGTTAAGTGAATCACTGAAGTAAATGTGAGTGAGTGAGTGAGTGAGTAAGTAAGTAAGTAAGTAAGTAAGTAAGTAAGTAAGTAAGTAAGTAAATAAATAAATAAATAAATAAATAAATATAAATATAAATATAAATATAAATATAAATATAAATATAAATAAATAAATGTGAACCAGCTGTCAATCACGTGAGCATGGGGATGCTGCAATGGTCATTAAGTGTGAAAAATGGTCATAAGTCACTTTTTTCAGTTGTGATTTGGAACAGTCACTAAATGAACAGCCACTAAATGAACTGTTGTAAGTTGAGGATTTATTTCACTGTCAAGCCTCTCACTTGTTTTATTACAGAGAAAGGTGAGCTAAAAACATCCCATTCTTTTCAGCCTCTGAAATCTTTTAACAAATCCACCTCAGAAGGTAGAACATCCACCATCTTTAAGCTTTCAGGAGCTTTTCAATGTTTGCAAACAATAAGGACCAAGGCATTATTCCCACTTCTCCTTTCCCCCTAATCTTTCTTTCCCATCCTTTTCTGAATCTCCTCCATCTTCAACCATCATCACCCTTGAAGACAAAACCGTTTAAGATCATCCTGACCCTGCTTTTTTTCATTTCAAAGCAAAAACTCCAGAATTATTTTTTTTTTAAAGACATATAGAGAGAGACAGAAATGGTACATAACTTGGCACTCATGGTGAAAAATGGGGAGCGGGCCCCCTCAAAAACTCTCTTCTGTACAGACAAATAAGACTTTGGGCGGATTGGCCCAGTTCTACTCCCTCCAGAAAGTTCTCCATCTTGGGCTGAGGAAAGAAGGAGAAGGAAGAGGAGGAGGAGGAAGAGAAGGAGGTGGTAGAGGAAAAGAGATGGATGGATGGATGGATGAGGTAGGGAGGAGGAGGAGGTAGAGAAGAAGGGATGAATGGATGAGGTAGGGAGGAGGAGGTGGTCGAGAAGGATGGATGGATGGATGGACAGAGAGGAGGAGGAGGCAGAAAAGAAGGGATGGATGGAGGTTGGGAGGAGGAGGAGGTGGTAGAGAAGAAGGAATGGATGGATGGATGGATGGATGGATGTTGGGAGGAGGAAGAGATGGTAGAGAAGGGATGGATGGATGGACAGAGAGGAGGAGGAGGTAGAAAAATCGGAATGGATGGATGGAGGTTGGGAGGAGGAGGAGGTGGTAGAGAAGGGATGGATGGATGGATGGATGGATGGATGGATGGATGGATGGATGTAGAGAGGAGGAGGAGGAGGTAGAGAAGAAGGGAGGGATGGGTAGATGGGTGGGCGGATGGATGGATGTAGAGAGGAAGAGGAGGTGGTAGAGAAGAAGGGAATGGAGGAAGGAATGAAGGTAGGGAGAGTAGAGGAGAAGGGATGGATGGATGAAGGTAGGGAGGAGGAAGAGAAGGGGGTGGAAAGAAAGAAAGAAATAGAAAGAGAGAGAGAGAGGAGAAAAAGAAGTTAGTGCAGTTTTTGGAAATCTGAGGTCCACTTACCAGTCTTCTTTTGGGCTTTATCAGTGGCCGATTTTGCCCATTCATTTTGTGATACAATCCACAGGCGTTACAGAGGTAATGCCCTGTGCCATCTCGCCTCCAAAGTGGGGTTGAGGTAGCTCCACAGTTTACACACTCCCTGCCTTCTGAAAACAAAAGGGGACACAAATCATTGAGGGGCAGCAAAGGAAGGAAGAGGGATGTTTTTCGGTGGGACGTGGTTACAACAGGGTTTCTCCGCTGCAGAGAGGCGATTAAAATCCCAGGGATTGGTTTATTAAATTTTCTACAGGCAGTCCTCGACTTACGACCACGACCGAGCCCCAAACTTCCCTTGCTAAGCGAGACAGTCGTTAAATGAATGTCGCCCCATTTGACCAACTTTCTTGCCAACGTTAAACGAATCACTGCAGTTGTTGAGTTAGTCACACGGTTGTTAAGTGAATCTGCCTTCCCTACCGATTTTGCTTGACAGAAGGTCGCAAAATGACACACACACACACCCCTGGGACACCGCCACCGTCATAAATAGGAGCCAGTTGGCAAGCATCCAAATTTTTGTGACTGTGGGGATGCTGCAAGGGTCATAAGTGTGAAAAAACGGTCATCGGTCACTTTTTTTTTTCCAGCCGTCGCTAAACGAAAGGTTGTAAGTCAAGGACTACCTGTATACCACATCATCTAGGGACCCTTGGTAGTTCGCAACCATGAGGTGAAAAAAAACCATGCAAAAATAAAATTAAATGGCTCCCCGAACGCACAATTAAAACCATATAACTTAATGATCCATTGATATGAAAGAACAAAAGCTGGGTAGCAATTTCGATCGAAAGGGGAATCGCAGGAGAACATCGCCGGTTCTGGAGAATTTTATCGATGTACACAACTGTACTGAAACACATTTTCCCCTTCGCATTCAGATCAAGACACCAGGTAGAACCTACAGAAGAACACAGTCGGAAGGGACCTTGGAGGTCTTCTAGTCCAACCCCCTGCTAGGGCAGGAAACCCTACGTCACTCCAGACAAATGAGTTGTCCAATCTCTTCTTAAAATCCTCCAGCGATGGGGCACCCCACATCTTCTGGAGGCTGAAGCTGTTCCATTGACTGTTTAATTAGTGTCAGGAAATTTCTCCTTAATTCTAGCTTGGATCGCTCCTTGATGGACAGAATAATAAAGTTGGAAGGGACCTTGGAGATCTTCTAGTCCAGTGATGGCTAAACTTTTTGCCATCATGTGCCGAAAGCGGGGGGAGCGCAGGGGGCCATGCGCGTGCGTGCCCACACCCATAATTCGATGCGCCCCATCCCCCCCGAACTCCCCCCGCTTTTGGCACACGATGGCATGTTTTTTGTCCTCCCCAGGCTCCAGAGCCTTTCTAGGAGCCTGGGGAGGGCAAACACAGCCTTCCCCACCCCACTGGAGGCCCTCCGGAGGCGAGAAACAGCCTGTTTCCCGACTTCTGGTGGGCCCAGATGGTCTAAAAATCAGCTGGCCAGCGCGCGCATGGAGGCTGGACCTGAGCTAGGGCAATGCTCGCAGGGCCACCGATATGGCTCCGCGTGCCATAGGTTCGCCATCATGGCCCTATACCATTTCAGACAAATAGTTGTCCAATCTCTTCTTAAAAACCTCCAGGGATGGAGCATCCAAAATGTCTGGAGGTAAACTGTCCCACTGATTAATTACTCTAATTATCTGGAAATTTGTCCTTAGTTCTAGGTACCCCTCTCTTTCTTTAACAGGTAAAATTTGTTTCTGTGCCTAGAAACGTTAATAGTGTTGAGAAATGCTGACGCCGATTTCACCGCAATACAAAACTACTCGGAAACTTGTCCCATTGAATTCAATGGCACAGAGAAAATGGTGCACCCTCCATGGATTATATCATTCGTCAGGTTAACACTGTATATATTTACCAATGAATGGAGCACTGGCTTAAATTAAGATTGGATGGTTCTCAGAATCAATATCTATGGAGATATTCTCAGTCATCCAGGTCTTGGTTGTCCCAAAGGTTTTGTTTTTTTTTTCTCAAAAGACAACTGGACTTTCTTGCTTTTCTTTGAAGACGTTTCGCCTCTCATCCAAGAAGCTTCTTCAGCTCTGACTGGATGGTGAGGAATGGAAGGATTTATACTCCTTGGAGACAGCTGGTCATTTGCATCCTTTCAGAGAGTCCTTGAGGCCACTTAGAGGTATCTCCAGTCTACAACACAATGCTTTCAACCGTTCCAAGAAGGCTCCACAACCATTTACACTACTCAGGTGACTCTGAGGACACAGATAAACCTCCAAGTAGCCTCAATGACTCTCTAAAAGAATGCAAATGACCAGCTGTCCGCAAGGAATATAAATCCTTCCATTCCCCACCATCCAGTCAGAACTGAAGAAGTTTCTTGGATGAGAAGCGAAAGGTCTTCAAAGAAAAACAACGAAGTCCAGATCTCAGAATCAATAAACCCACCAACTTTCAAAAGGAGCTTGCATCAGCCACCATCAACTTAATTTTCAGTTTGTTTCACCGTGTGATCCGTGCTTTGCTTTTTGGGGATAAATGACGTGTCATCTCGGTTCCAACCTTCAAATAATCTAACCTTCTGAAACCGTGACATCTCCAGCCTTGGCAGTAAAAATAATTAACAACAATTTATAGCTATAAATTACACAGCCAAACAAAGAAGAGCTGCTGTTTCATTATTAAGGAACTGTACTTAATCAATTGAGGGATTCTTTGAATTAATTCATCCAACCAATTAAATGTTGCAGCTCCATCAATGATTAAAACCTTTTGATTTTGTGAAGACAGCGTTAGTATCATAAATCTTAACAGTATTACTTTACTCAGAGGCTCATCTCCTCCGAGTTCAAAAAGAGAATCCCTTAATAGAAAGGTTTATTGACATATTATTCATATTTTCCGTTGAACTGTACAGATAGAAGCAAAAGATTTAAAAACATGTACAAACAAGAGCAAAAATTGAGCCATTTGGCACAATCCATTAAAACGAACAAGTCATGTACACACAAGTGGGTTAGGACTGAAAATTAGTCAACATAAATTCCCTGAATTTATCAAAAGCAGCCAAAATTTAAATGACAATCTACGGTACAGATCTGCTTTCTACAACATAAAATCATGAGAAGAAGAAAATATACACGGCAATATTGATAAATTTTCACGAGCAGGTTGGGTGTCTTCGTAGAAACCTCTTTTAAAAAATCATTAAACCAGCTGCAATTGCATAAGAAGTTCACCTCAGTTTGTGATAACCTTGCTCACAACACCTGTGATTTCATTGTGCCACACAATTGTTGGTTTAACTTATGGGCCAGTATGCAGGTAGTCCTCGACTTACAACAGTTCACTTAGTGACAACAGCACTGAAAAAAGTGACTTATGACCCGTTTTCCACATAACGTCCCCATGGTCATGTGATCAAAATCCAGATGCTTGGCAACAAAACTCCGTATTGGCAACAGGAAAGGCATCCGGCCATTAAAACACTCTGCTAGCTGCATTCAGTTGCCCAGACTCCACCCCCGCAAGAGATTATGAGGTCGTTAAAAGAAGATGATGATGATGATTTATTGACCGTTTGAAGTTCCAACGGCACTGGAAAAAGTGACTTGTGACCATTTTCACACTTATGACATGCAGCATCCCCCATGGTCATGTGATCAAAATCCAGATGCTTGGCAACTGATTCATATTTATGACGGCTGCAGTCAGGTCATGTGATTTTGCGACCTTCGGACAAGCAAAGTCAATGGGGAAGCCACATTCACATTACAACTGTGTTCCTAACTTAACAACTGCCATGATTCACTCATCAACTGTGGCAAGGAAGGTCGTAAAATGGGACAAAACTCACTTCACAAATGTCTCACTTAGTAACAGCAAAACTGGGGCTCAATTGTGGTCGTAAGTCGAGGACTACCTGTACTGCAGGAATCCAGAAACTGAATTATTTCAGCAGCCAAGTTCAACGTGTGGTTTGAAAGGAAGACAATGGGTCTCTTCAATGTCCTTTGTTAATTTAGATCAATCTTTAAAGGTTAATTAAGTTGTTTACAGGCATTTGATCCAGCTGTGTGCTCTTTAAGCATGAAAAAGCTCAACTCCTTCTCACTGCTTTATTTTTTTTTCCATATATTTAGGCAACTGTATATATATATATATATATATCATTCATCTATTACTATTTCCTTTTTAAAATAAAAATACCAGCTGAAAAAGATCTATTAGGTCTAAATAAATAGCCGAGGCCAGACAAATTTTACTGATTAAAATTAATC